TGATTTGTGGGGGGGCGGTATTGGACATAGATTTGTTGATGCCATGTCCCGCCTTCGCAGGCGCTTCACATTCGGCAAATGGGCTGAACGCATGGAGGGCGCTACCGAGCATGGCGGGCGCACTCTGCGACAACGCATAAGTTCCGACTCCGCAGCTGGAAAGGGTAATCCAGCGAACATGCGCTGCGGAGCGCGGCGTGGCAGTGCTCGGGGTAGCCCGTCGCGAACGAAAGCAGAAGTGGAAGCGAAGCCGCTGATCTGCTGCGCGCGCCGCTTCGCGGGAGGGCCCGATGGGGCGCGATGCGTGCGGGGCTGGGACAGGTGGGGGCGTCGGCAACAGAGAAGCACCAGAGTGGTCTGTGGAGAGTGCGACAAGCGGGGCGTAACCGCGAAGGGAATGGCTGACGCGGCGGAACGATTGAAGCGACAGTTGACGCGCGCAGAGCGCGAGTGGGAGTTCCCGCGGCAAGATCGCATGAGCGACAGACAGGAGAGTGATCGCTTCGCGGGGAAGAGTGCAGTTGCATACGTGGATTGCGCAGCCCTGGGGCTCGCGGCGCGGATGCAGGCGGGGCATAAGTCGCGCAGTGGCGCCGCGAAGTGGAACGAGACCCTCGGCGCAGTGCGGTGTTTGCACGAGCAGTGTCTGGCGTTGTCTGGCGGCGATGTCGGAAGCGGTGAAAAAAAAAGCAGCGCAGCTGGATGGGGTAATTTGGCGAGAATGCGCGGCAGAGCGCGACGCGGCCGCGCGCGAGACGAACAGTCGCGCCTAACACAGCGGCGATAACAAAGCTGCTGACCTGGGCCTTCTGCGCGCCGGGTTGCTGGGGGACTTTCTAATTCGCGATGCATTTGGCCGCGGGCAGGTGGATGGGGCATCGTGGAAAGAGGAGCACCATGCTGGTTTGTGGATAGTGTGACCTGCGCGGCGTAACCAGACCGTGGAATCTGTCACGGCCTTCGCTTTATCCTGGCATGGTTTTGAGTCCGAGTCACAGGGGGGCTTCGTGGGGTCTCTTTGGAGTTTTCTGAGGAACTCGGGGAGTGACAGTGTTAGGGTCCCGGGGGCTTGTTCTTGGGGTCATTGTAAGTTCCGCGGCTGACATTCTCAGTGTTCGCCGTGCACGTATGGGGCGATGAGCGAAAACCAACGTTCGCAGGCGGCGCGCACATGTCAAAACATCAGAGGAATGATTATCGAATGGTCGTCAGCCCATCCCACCACCGTGCCTGGGTTGTGGGTCCGAGGCCGGTCGGATGGCTGATGGGGTCTCGTGTGATGGCTGGCTCTCGGGGGCGCCACGAAGGCAGTTTTTGGGCCGCTTGGGGGCCTTCTGGGGGGCTCATGGGAGCCTTTTGGGACCCGCTCGGGGCTACCTGTGGGTCTTTTTTTGGCCTCTCGGGGGCTTCTTAGGGCAACATGGGGGCGTCTTGGGGCCGAAGGCTCGGAATTTATGTTCGGGTTTCCCTTTTGAGTTCCCTTCTGGAGCCGTCCTGGGGGTCTGTTGGGCCGTCTTGGAACCTTTTTTGGGGCCTACTGTGCCTTCGTGGACGTAGTAAAAGCCCCCATCGGCGAATATGCGAAAAATATGTTTTCCTTGCGCGCAGGGACGATGTTTGCTTCTTGGGGCCCTCTTGGGAGGCCTCTTCGAGGCCTCTTGGAGCGTCTTGGAGGCATTCTGGGCCGTCTGGAGGCCATCGTGGGCGTCTTGGATCAATCATTCGGTGACCCGGGGCCTTCTTGGATCGTCTAGGGGGCCTCTTGGGAAACCTCAGGGGCTGTGACCGCGTGGCGCCCGCGTATGGTTCGAAATTCTGCCGTAGCGTGCGCTTCGCATTGGTTTTGACAGGGGTGGTGGGCCTGTGCCCGTGGGGTAATACAGTATCCCGCCTTGTCCCTGTCAAACAACAGAGTAAACTGATCGCCAGGCGCCCGAACATGCTCAAGCGTTTGCCCCAGAAAACATACGGTTTGTTGGCAGGGATTGCGGGGGGCAGGGGTTGACTCTGGCCCTCGTTAGGGGCTGGTCGATTTCCAGAGAGGCTGTATATTAGTTAGGAACACTTATGAACCCCTCTTTGAAGGGGAATCACGGAAACGAACTCGGATTAGACCTCGCCCTCTTTGGGGCTGCGAGGTGCGAAGCTGTCACCACTTTCTCGGTCTCCTGGGAGTTCCAGCGTAGTGTCGTCTCCACTTTTGTGGCCTTTTGGGAGGGTCAGCGGGGCGGCGACGTCACGCCCAGATCAACATTAGACCTTAGACCTCGTCCTCTCTGGGGGCTGCGAAGTGCGAAGGAATGGCCACTTTCGTGTCTCTTGGGAGTACGAGCGGGGTGAAGTCGTAGCAAGACCAGAGTGAGACCCCTCCACCCCTGGGGACTGCGAGCTGCGAAGCCGTCGTCACTTTCGTCGTCTTGGGGTTCAGCGTTGGGCGCGATTCTGTTCAGATCAGGATTCGTCCTCGCCGACCTGCTTTCTGGTCATTTCATATCCTTGAGTGCTGCTTCATTAGAACCCGCTCCGTGAGTCGTGCTGTGCTTAAGCCTCTCATTGATTAGACTTCACAGCAGATCTCGTTCCTTGCCATTCCATCATCCGTGTAATATTCGCCCACAGCTATGGGTACACGTTGCAGATGGATTGTGTACGTCACAAGTGTATTTGTACATTGTTTGTTCGTCTTCCTTCGTCTGTATCCTCGTAGACCACTCCATCTTTGAAGCGTAGGTGCCCCCGAAGGGCCCTCTACGAGCCGATTTGATGCGATCAGACTCGATTGTTGTGGCCTGCGATCCCTGTTCGATTCGATTCAGTTCGATTCGCCGGCATCGGCCGGGGCCAGCCGCAGCCGGGCGCGGCGATTCCATCTCGATCCGGTTCGGGGCGGCTCGCTGGCGATCCGACCCGCTTCCGATCCGATCCGATCTCGCGATCCGATCCAGCTCAGGCCTGCCCCCGTCGCCTGCCGCCGCGTGCCGAGCAGGGCCCCAGTGCCCTGCCACCGAGCCACGCGCGGTTCCCGTATCTCCCCTGGCCCCTGGAGGCCGAGGCAGGAGGGAGGAGCACCAGTCAGGATCCCTCGAAGATAGCCGATCTTCGTGGAATTAGATTGGCAATCTTCGAGGAGCACTGGTCTTCCAATCTTCAAGGAGCGAGGAGCACCAGTCAGGATGCCTCGAATCGCGCCGCCCAATCTTAGATTGGGCGGCGCGCGCATCGGGGTGGTGCGAGGGGGTTGGCCTTGTAAGGAGGCGGAGGGGCTTCTCAAAGGGCGGGTGTCTTCTTGGAAGCCTTTCCAGCTTCTGAGAAGTCTTCTCTGAAGTCTCCAGCGCCTTTTATGGCCCCCCCGTTTTCTACGAAGCACCTCGCCTTTGTAGAAGGTCACCCCCTTCGCGCCACCCCCTTCTGCGCGCCGACAGAAAATGGAAGACCGGAAAATGGCATGAGCGCAAACTTTCGGAGGTCCGCGCGGTTTCGTAGATCTGCGCTGGGCCCCTCCTGGCGGCGCCTCTGGCGCCGCCTCTAGCGCGCTCCGCGCGCCAGGGATTGGGGATCTGGCGCCTTTGTGTGCAGGCTGTCGCTGCTCATACGGTTTCCTCGGCTCGGGCCTGAACGCGGCCGCTAGAGGTGGAAAAGGAAGGAAACGCGTCGGTCCTGATTTGCTTCCGCGACGCACGGAGGTCTTGCTTCTTTTTCCTCCTTACCATTCTTGCCACCCCTCTCTCCTCAGGCTTTAATGGCGAGCAGCTTACAGGAGACGTGCTTGAAACAAGGGCCCGTGCTGACATACACAGGAGGGCTTGCTGGGAACACTTGTTTCTCTCGGCCTCAGGCTTTCATTTAAGCACCGCATGTTGCGAAATTGGTTCACCGTCCTTTTCTTTTTTATCGTTTCTTGCTCTTCCGCTTCGTGCCTGTATCGGCTCCTGGTACATCCCACCTCTCGCTTGACCAGCGCCTGACCGCCTCGCACACCCTTGCGCTCGCGGACAAACAAGTTGCGATATCAGTGTCGTATGAATGTTCGCAGCCTTTTGATTCGCGATGTTGTTTTGGCACCTGCAGGCCTTGTGGGGGAGTAACAGATCGTGTGGTATCAATACGCTGTGGCCGCGCGTGTCACCAGTACGCGCTGGCTCTCCAACTTTGGTTACATCCAGTTTGTCTCAGTTGCACCAGCGTTTCCTTCAGTTACATTCAGCTTGCATCCATGTCCCCCTGCGTTGGACTCGCCCAACATGTTTTACTTACACTCACTTTCCTTCAGTTGCACCCATGCTCCCTTCAGCGCAATTGATTTTCCCTATCAGTTACATTAAGTTTTTTCCTTCAGCTTCACTCCACCTTAATGCTTGCCCTTTGCAAGGCTACGTGGTAGCACGCTGCACCAGAATCCGTCAGGGCTTCCTGCGTATCCTTTGCTTCTTCGGCCCGCCTTCTGCTGATCTGCTCGGCTGGTTCGCCACTGCAGTCGCTTGAAATACCATGGGCGTCCTCGGACCTTGTATACTTAGCAGATCTCTGACGTCGTGTCTCTTTAACGGCTCGCGTCCCTGGAGCTCCCCAGACCCAACGTCTTGACAAACATCAAGCCGAATGTTTTCGACGTCTTCGGGCTTGGGGGGCCCTCGCCTGGCCTTGGGGCTTTCGAGCAACGACTCAGGACGAGAAGTCGTCTCTGGGAAAGGGTCGGGACTTCTGGGGACCCCGCAAGGGGAAAAATCAAGACATCGGGTGTCTGGGCCTCGGCCCCACGTCAGGTGCTGGCTGCTCGCCGTGGGTCGTTCTTGGGCCCCAAGGGGCCGCCGACACCGCGAGACAGCGCTCTGATCGAAAACGTCGCGGCGCTGGAGGCTTTCCGGTGCTGGCAGATTCCTTTGATGAGAGCCGCTCGGGGCGGCCTCCTGTCAAGTAAGTAAAGCCCACTGGGGAGATGTGGGCCTTCTGGGCCGTGGCAGCGTTCAGGGCGCCCAGGCTCCTCCGCCGCCGCCCCTCAGGTGGACGCCCTGCTCGCCCCTTCGGCCGCTGGCTACTCGCCGGGCGCCAGCCTCGTTTTTCCGAAGGTGCCCCTCCTCCGCGACTCCTCCCATGCCCCCTTCCTCCCCTCCGTCGTCTTCATTTTGCTAACCCTTCCTTGGTTCGCGCAGCTAGGTTTGTTTGTGCAGTTTCATCCCTGTTGCAGGGCGTCCTCTGAGAGCCACATTCGGAGGCCTTCCAGGTTGGTGCCACAGCCTTCCTGGAGCAGCAGGATACTCAGGACATCTTGTGCCGGGGGCGATACATCAGCTTGGCAGGGTTGTCAGGACGGCTTTGGTCGCCAGAGTTTGGGTGTACGGAGAAAAATACAACGCTGAACAAGCGCTATATATGTGAGGATTCCTTTCGCAGGATGCATTTGTTTTTTGGTTTGCTTTCGAGCTTCAAGGTGGCAGTTGGGCTCACTCCCTTGGAAGTGCTTGGGCACCACAAGCGGCACAGCTTTACGTTGCCGGACCTGGTGATCCCTGCGCATGATCTGTTTGCAGTGGGTGATGACATGATTCTAAGCTGAAGGAGTGGGTCTGGCGCAGATTGGGGGCGGTGGGAGGCGCAGTCGTTCATTAACTGTGTACTATTGCGTGCAATAGTGCGCAAGAAGTGCGGGGGAAGGGGAACTAACTCCTGCAAGGGCAGTCTGCTTCGAGGAGGAGGAGGAGGAGGAGGAGGAGGAGGAGGAGGAGGACGATGAGGCTGCAACGACGGAAAACCGCGGAGGAGTTTTTCAGTCGAAAGTGCTTGGGACCTCGTGTTTTTCTGCGTCGACCAGAAGCTGGTAAGCTGATTCGACGGGGGCATGCTGGATTTGGCGATCGGTGTGGTCACCGCTGCTGCATATTGGAGAATGAATGCATCAGAAAGCCGAAGAGTAAACGACGGCAGTGGACCTCCTCAACTGAAAAGTAAATCGGAGCTTGGGGGGTGTGAACGGAAGTGACTCCAACCGGGAAATCGGTTTGGGGTTTCGGTTCGTGTCATGCGTGCGGGCGAGGCGAAGCTGCGCGAGTTCCTGCACTGCCCCCCCTCCGGGCGGGCGCGTGTCCCGTGGTTGTCCCGCGGTTGTCCCGTGGTTGTCCCGCGGTTGTCCCGTGGTTGTCCGGTGGTTGTCCCGATGGTTGTCCTGCGGTTGTCCCGATGGTTGTCCCGATGGTTGTGCCGATGGTTGTCCCGATGGTTGCCCCGATGGTTGTTCCCATGGATGTCCCCATTGTTGTCCCGATGGTTGTCCCGATAGTTGTCCCGATGTTTGTCCCGATGGTTGACTCGATGGTTGTCCTGATGGTTGTCCCGATGGTTGTCCCGATGGTTGACTCGATGGTTGTCCCGATGGGTGTTCCGATGGGTTTACTGGTGGGTGTCCCGAAGGGTGTCCCAGATATATGCATACACAGACACCATTAGTACCACCACCACCACCTTGAGGGATCGACTCGATAGATGTATAGATAGACTGATCGATAGATAGATGCATAGGTCGATAGATAGATTAGGTTGATCGAAACAAGCGGTAGAAGGTGGTATTTTTAGTTTTCGCGTATTCTTTGTTGGCGGTAGGCGGGACTCGTTGCAAATCGACCGCCTCCCCCTCCCCCCCCCAACCTCCTTATCACCCGAAGGGTGGTCCTATCGGTACTCTTGCCAGTATGCCAATGCACGCTCGCCCGTGAGGCGGTCACGAGGAGAGTACGCGTCAAAAAGCGGCCGACCCGTCCCGGCCTGACTCTCTGTGCTTGGGAGGTGCGTTTGGCGTGTGATGGTGGTGTTTTATTTGTCCTCTCGTTCGCCCTCCCCCTCCGTGAGAGTCCTAGGGGCCCCGCCCCCACGGTCGTTAATGTGATGTTCGGCTGCTTCCCCCCGTCGTCGGCGCCGTCGTCTCCACCGCCCTCGTCATCGCAGTCGCAATCGGCGTCAAGTCGATCAGTGTCGTCGTAGCCATCGGATTCGCAATACCAGTTGTCTGGCTCATCGTGTAGCGACCCTACGTGTATTTCGCAATCGTCCTTTTTGCTCTGGCATGTAGAGATCTGCTCCTAGGCTCACATCACCTGCCTTCTCTCTTCTCTGAGGCGCCCCTATGAGATCCGATCTCATTCAGGCTGCCGCGGCCGTGCTGGGCACAGGAGCCACCGCTCGAGGCACAGGGTAATACCCATAGCAGTATCAAGAAAGAGTGAGACGCATCATAATAATACCATGAGCAAGTATACACAGCAAAACCAATAACACGAACAACAGGCATACTTGGGATCATAGCAATTTTACGCATAGTAATAGCAACATAAGAAGATGAGCCATCGTAGACTCAAACAGTGTGTTTCAGCAACCTGCGTGATGCAATCCATGTGGTGTACGCTATGTGGTGCCCTACCTGTGTGGTGTAACCAGTGTGGTGTAACCTGTATTGTGCAATCTGTGTGGCGAGAACTATTTGTGGCGATTTCTAGAGTGTGAGCTGCGTGGTGCAATCTACGTGGTGCACTAGAAATGGTGCAATATCCAGCTGCGTGAGGCAAGTCCCACCACCGTGCCAGCCCAGCATGCTCCGCGGCTCTCCTTCCAGGGGGCACGAGAGGCCGTTCTTGCGAGGAATGAACATACTGATCACGATGATGATGCTGATGATGATGCTGATGCTGCTGATGATGATGACGATGATGATGACGACGATGATGACGATAACGATGATGTTGTTGGTGCTGCTGATGATGACGATTCTGATGCTTATGCTTATCATGATGTTGATGTTGATGCTGATGATGGCGATGATGCTGACGATTAAGCTGGTGTTGACGCTGCTACTGCTGCTTATGATGACGACGATGATGCTTATGATGCTGATTCTGATGATGGTGATGACGACGACGATGATGATCATGATGATGAGGATGATGATGCTGCTGCTGATGATGATACTTATGATGCTGCTGCTGCTGATGATGAGGTTGATGCTGATGGTGATGATGACGATAATGATGATGATGGTGGTGGTGATGATGGTGGTGATGATAATGATGCTGATGATGATGCTGCTGCTGATGCTGATGATGATTACGGTTCGCGTCGGAAACATAGCGTGCGAAATGGCGCCATCGGCTCGCTTTTTGCACGGATGCATGTATGTATGTATGTATGTATGCATGCATGCATGCATACATGCGTGTATGTGTGTATGCATGTACGTATGTACGTACATACGTGCGTACGTATGTACGTATGTACGTATGTATGTGTATATACATATGTATGTAAATGTATGTATGAATGTATGTATGCATGCATGTATGCATGTATCTATGCCTGTCTGCCTGTAGGTATGTATGTATTTGTGTTTGAATGTGTGTATGTATGTATGTATGTATGTATGTATGTATGTATGTATGTATGTATGTACGCACGCACGCACGCACGCACGCACGCACGCACGCACGTACGTATGTATGTATGTATGCATGCATGTATGTATGCATGTATGTATGTATGTATGTATTTATGTATGCATGTATGTATGTAATGTATGTATGTATGTATGTATGTATGTATGTATGTATGTATGTATGTATGTATGTAGGTAGGTAGGTAGGTAGGTAGGTATGTATGTATGTATGTATGTATATATATATATATATATATGCATGTATATGTATATATACATATATGGATGTATACGTGGTTATATATACACACATGTTTCGGAAACCTCGCTCTTGACACCACTAAATCACCATGCGCGCGACGACGCGCGCGTGTGCACTTCGTCCATCTGTTTCCAAAGGTTTTTTTAGTCGTCTGTGATTTTGGATAAACTAGAGTGCGCGCGAAGTATTTTTTGAAGAGGATGTAGGGGGGGGTCGCACCTGCCTGGTTTGGATGGTACGAGTTCATATGTCGAATGAACGATGGGGCAAAACATTTGTAATTTGGGCGCCCCCAGGAGGTATCTATAACCCCGGGTGGTAGGGGTGGTAGAACCTAAAGTTCTTCCAGAAAAGAGAAGGTATGTGGTGCAACCGACGGGGAGAGTCATAGGAGTTTCAATCATTGCAATGCACGGCGATTGCAAAGCAGTGCGGTCGCAATGCAATGACGCGGCGCGATGCGCACAAACGCAAAACAGTGCAGACCAAGGCAAAGCAATGCAAGGCGATGCAAATCAATTGCAAAGCAATACGAAGCAATGCCACACGATGCCAACCAGTACACATTAATGTATAGCAACGGAAAGCCATGGGAAGCAATGCGAAGCAATGCAAAGCGGGCGGCTACGAGGCGGCGGGCGGTGACGAGGCGGCGACGGCGGCCACATGGTGGCCAGAGCGGCCCAGATGTCCAGGCGTCTGGCGGCGACGGGCGGCGTCGAGGCGGCGATGGCGGCCACGTGGCGGCCACAGCGGCCCGCAGGCCCGAGCGACGGGCGGCGACGGGCGGCGACGAGGCGGCGACGGGCGGCTACATGGCCGCCAGGGCGGCCCGCAGGCCCAGGTCCTCAGAAGACAGATCAAGAGAACGACTGACTGCAAATACTGTGCGGGAATGTGGGGAATAGGAAGACGGAATAATGATAATAGTAAGAAGAAGATCGCCGTCGTCATCGCCGTCGTCACCGTCCCCGTCTCTCAGAAGCCAGGCGAAGGCTGGCAAATCCGTGGCTGCTAAAACGGAGCTCCGGGAAATTTCTGGCGACGAAATCTATACATATCCACTGCTCCCTGACCATGCCCATCTTGAACCCAGGAGCTGTGTATGCGCCCTCCTGGCCAAGCCAGGAGGGCGTGGCGTATACACCGCTGCGGGGTTGAGGATGGGCCTGGCCAGGGAGCAGTGGATATGTATAGATTTCGTCGCCCTTTTTTTTTTTTTCCAGGAAGCAGCCCGCTTACTATTCTAGTGCGCTGAGTTTTATTCTGGGAATTTACTTTTTCTTCCGGGAAGACCGTTTTAGCAGCCACGGATTTGCCAGCCTTCGCCCAGCTTCCGAGTCTTTGCCATGATCGCAGTCGTAAGCACTGACCAGACCAGACCGCCGGCCGGCGCCTGCCCCCCCTCCGTCATCTGGGCGGGGCCCCCGAGCGGTGCTGGCTGAGCTCGTCTCGGTGATTCTGCGTCGGCTTCTTTGTCATTTTGGTTTTCCTCCTCCCTACCCCTCTCGTTCTCCTCGCCCTCGTCCTTCCTCTCCCCCTCCCCCCCTCGCCGCATTTCCCCCCTCCTCTCGCCTCCCCCCCTTCCCTCCCCTCCCCTCCCCTTTTCCCCCTCCTCGTTCTCATCCACCTCGTATTTCGAGTCTTCCTTGTCCTCCTCGCTCTCATTCTTTCTCTTCCTCCTCCTTTCTCGTCCTTGTCTCGCGGAGCGTGCTGTTCTGGCAAGCCTGATTTTCAGAGTCACAGTCTCATCCACCTGACCTTAGCTAGGCCCAGACGTTGCCAGCAGACGTGGTCATTCGTTCGCTCGTTTCCTCCTCGTTCTTATTTATGTTCCCCTCATCTCCCCTATCGCTTCACCCCCGTTCCTTCTATTCCCGCCCCTCTCCGTCTTTCGCTTATCTGTTCCGTTCCCTCTCTCCCACCCCTCACCCGTCCTGCTTCCTGCTGCTGCTGCTGCTGCTGCTGCTCCCGCTCTTGATTTTTTATACTCATTCATCTCTTCCCCTCGTCACCTCCTCCTCCAGTTGGCGGCCACCTGGCAGAAATGCCCTCGGTCCCTTCCCTTTCACCAAAAGCTATCCGCCGCAGTGCTAGAATTATCTGTTTCTTGCTCGGACCGGGCGCAACTGGATCTCTTTGCGCTACGACAGGCCTTCCTTTTTCACGAAGGGCTCAGCCGAGTCGTTTTTTTTTTTTTTTTTTTTTTTTTTTTTTTTTTTTTTTTTTTTTTTTTTTTTTTTTTTTTTTTTTTTTTTTTTTTTTTTTTTTTTAAAAAAAAAAAAATATTATATTATTTTTTTGTGTTGTTGTTGTTTGTTTTGGTTTTTGTTGTTAAAATAAGTACCAGACCGCCGTTATTGGCGTGCCTGTTCACCCCCTGATGACTGGCGCCAGGAGGCGCAGGCTTGCCAGTGCCACACCTTGTGGAAGATCGGCATCTGGGACAATTAAGCTACGCGTCCGCGGTCTTCGCGGCAGAGCAAATCGAGGAGCGGACGCGTGCCTCGCCGTGTGACGGCATCCTTCAGCCGGACACGCGACGAAAGCTGGGGCATTTGCAGAGAGGCCAGGCAGTTCTTGCAGGCGCTGCCGCTCCACGTGCGGTTCAGCGCTGGGGCGTCCGCTTCTGGCCTGCCTGGGCTTATTCTTGCGTGCTGTGCCCTAGGAACGGTTCAGCCCTGACTTCACTGAGCTCATGGGCGCTCTCGCTTTCTCAACCTGTGTGCGCACACAGCCTTTACCGATACGCTCTCCGCATTTTCTACTGGTCTGCGCCACCACCTGTCAGGTGTTGAGGTACGGTGGCAAGGCCCGCCGCACGGCCTGGGGGAGGCAGGGGGACGGGGAGTGGGTGGGACACGGTGAAGGGTGGGCATATGTCAGGCCTGCCCTGGGCATTGGAATGCGTGTGTGTGTGTGTGTGTGTGTGTGTGTGTGTGTGCGAGTGTTGGGATCTGGACATGGAAGGAGATGGGGGGAGTAGGGGACTAGGGACTGGGGATGCCGACGCAGATGAGGGCGAGAGATATGGGACGGGGAGGTGGGGTTGTCTTCGGGTCCTCCTGAGCCGTCTTAGGGTGCTCCTGCAGGCCTTGGGTTGTCAGAAGGCATGAAGGCGAAAACGCCTAAATCATTCGAAACGTTTCTTTCGAGAAATCAGCGATCTTGGCCTTTCGGGGCCCTCCTGGAGAGCCTCTTGGAGCCCTCTTGGGCTGCGTTCTGTGGCCGCCTTGGGCCTTTTTTGGGCCATCTTGAGCCATCTACCACAGCCTCGAGGCCATCCTGCGCCGCCTTCGAGCCATGTTGTTGGCCCGTCGCGGGGCCAACTTGGGCCATCCGGGAGGCATCTTGAAGCCTTCGAAGGCCCGATGAGGCTCCAGAAGCCCGGGAACCTTGGTCTCCAGTTTCCCAAGAGCTGGGCTGGTGGGGATGCGCGAGCCCACCTCTCCATCCTTACGTTTACCTTTCTTGCACACCTTCGTGGCGGCCAAGGCCACTCGGCGCTCGCTCATCGCGCGCACGCCGTGCCGATCAAGCCATCCAGAAACATTGCCCACGCGAGTTGTCGGGAGGCGGGGAGAAGATAAGCCTATGTTGAAACAAGGGGGCAACAAGGGTGGCCTTGGAGACCTCTGGGAGTCTTTCGAAGCTCTCTGGGAACTCTGCAGGTGCGGCGGAGGGGATCTGAAGTGGGGTTGGACGGCGGGTGGGGTGGAGGAGGGGGTGGGGGAGCGGGTGGAGGTGGGGGCGGAGGGGGAAGGAGGTGGAGGAGGAGTGACGGGGTTTGGAGGGTAGGTGCGAAAGGCGGGGGGTGGGTAGATGGAGGTGTGGAGGGGGATTTTGAGGGCTTGGCACCTCGCGAAATCCAGATCCCGACCCCAGTGAAGGGGGTAGGGCGCTACAAGTGCTTCTTCTACGGCTTCCAACTGTAGAAGGAACGCCCGAGATTCAACATTGGCAGAGGGCGCCATCGGACGGACAGCCGCCGGGAACCAGCACAGACGCCACGTGCGCGACGCTCGCGAAGGGCGCCATGCGTGCCAGGTGTGCCAGGTGACCCTCGGGCCCAAGCATGCCAGGCACGCCTGGTGCGCCAGATGTGATACAGTTGAAACCCATGATAAGAAACACCCCTGCTGAGGGGCCCAGCACAGTGGGTACTCACCGCAGACTCAAATTGGACCTCGCCATCCCTGGGGGGCTGTGATCTGTGAAACTGTCGCCACTTTCGAGGGCTGCTGAGGGGCCCAGCACAGTGGGTACTCACCGCAGACTCAAATGGGACCTCGCCATCCCTGGGGGGCTGCGATCTGTGAAACTGTCGCCTGCTTGCCTTCAGGGTGCCCTGGGTTTTTCGACGTTTTTGCGATGGAGAGCATGACATTCCCACACCAGAAATCAAGGGACGCCATGGGGTGTCAGGGCTTGGTCTTTTGTGGAAGGTTTCTTGTGGACTGGCCCCCGTTGTACTCGCGCCAAGTGTGCCACATGCTCCATCCGCGCGACGCGCGCGACGCGCGCAGAGTGCGCCAGGTAGCAGCAGGTGATCCCGTGCGTGTGACAGCGCACATCGGGCAATATGACGACCCCCCACCATCCTTGTCAAAAACCAGAGCACAGAGGCGGCTGTGCAGTCAGCATTGTGAGCGGTGTGTCTGCGCTCGCAGTCAATCAGCATCGTTTTTTCAGTGGAGAGTGGCCCAGCGCACAGCGGACAAATATGATCTCATTCCCGCCACCCGCCTCGAGCAACAATGCAAACTGATCGCGGCGTGCCCGCTCGTGGTGGAGAGTTTACTGTCAATGTGCGTTTCGTGGTGTTTTTTGGCAGGGATGACGGGGGCGGGCGCTCGCATGGTTCCTGGATGGCGACCGGTCGAGTGGAGGAGGAGGTATTCGTTGATGAGTGGCAGTGGTAGACCCATCCCCAAGCAGAGTGGGTTGGTTAAGTTAAGCTAAACCACCTGCGCCCAGAGGGCTGGTGGGATCTCAAGCTTCCGAGTCATAAGCGCTGACGAAGTACATATCAGGCGAAAACGGACCCTACCGGCCCGACTGGCGGTGCAACGAGGAGGAGTTATTTGCCAGGGTAAGGGATGGAGGAGGAGGGGGTGGATGAAAATGACGTTGGATGCCGATGCTGCTACTGATGAGTATGGTGATGATAATGTTCATGATCTCATGATGATGTTGATGATGACGGCCATGATGGTGGTGGTGATGGATGGTAGTGGTGGTGATGGTGATGACGATGGTGATGACGACGATGACGATGATGACGATGATGATGAGGATGAGGATGAAGATGGTGGTGATGATGATGATGATACTGATTCTGATGATGCTTGTGACGCTCGTGGTGGTGATGGTGGTGCTGATGACGGTCTTGGTGGTGCTGCTAGTTATGATGTTGATGATGAGAGGGATGCGGAGGAGAATATGCATGCTGCACATGAGAGGCAATATGATGATGAGGAGAGAGGAGGTACTGGACGATGAGAATCATGGGGACGACGACGATATAACCACGACGATGATGATGGTGACATTACTGATAATGATGCTTATTACCTTGTTGATGATGCTCATGATGCTGATGATGATTACGATGATACTGTTGATGATAATGCTGATGCAGATGCTGATTATGGTATTCATGATGACGATGATGACAATCTTGATAATAGTAACGATGATGGTAACGATGGTAATGATGATGCTGATGGTAATGATGCCGATGATGAGGTTGTTGTTGTTGATGATGATGATGATGATGATCATCACCATGCTGCTTATGATCATGATGCTGTTGATGATGATGCTGTTGATGACGATGATGCTAATGATCATGATGATGACGAGGGTGATGAGGATACTGCTGCTCATCATGATGTTGTTGAGGGAGGACGGCGATGATACGAGTGGCGGTTGTGCTACTGCTGATTCTGATGTGGAGGAGGATGAGGTGCATGTTGATGATGTTGCTGATGCTGCTGATGATGACGATGTTGATGATGGCGATGATGACGATGATGATGATTATCAGGATGATGATGTTTATGTTGATAGTGTGATGGTGATGATGCTGATGCTTAGGATGCTGACGATGATGATGATGATGCTGATGATCATGATGACGATGATGCTGATGCAGATGCTGATGATGACGATGATGATGATGATGATGATGATGATGATGATGATTATGAATATGCTGATGCTGATGACGATGATGATGAGGATGATGATGCTGCTACCGCTGATTGTTCTCCAACTATCCGTGTCCTATACGAGTTCTAACTCAAACCCTACTAATTGTTCCGTTGTCCCCCCAATTCCTATGGCTATGCCTATGCCTATGCATATGTCTATGTCTCCCCCCTAACTCCTGTGCCTACGCCTATGCCTACGCCTCTGCCTATGCCTATGCCTATGCCTATGCCTATGCCTATGCCTATGCCTATGGCCATGGCTATGCCTATGCACCACCACTGAGCGCTCCTATGCCAATGTCTATGCCTATGCCTGTGCCTATGCCTATGCACCACCTCTGAGCGCTCCTCCACCTCATCGTCATCACCATCGTCATCATCACCATCATCACCCACTATCTATTTGGAGTCAACGCTGGCTGAGATGATGATGCTGATGATGATGATGAGGAGGAGGAGGAGGAGGATGCTGCTGCAGATGCAGGTGCAGCTGCTGATGCAGCTGCAGCTCCTGATGATGATGCTGTGGATGGTCATAATCATGATGCTGCTGATTATGCTGATAACGATAGTAAGGGTATCGCTTACGATGGTGATGCTGATGATGCTGCTGATTCTGACGATGACGCTGATGACGATGCTGATGACGATGCCGCTGTTGATGATGCGACTGATGTTGATGACGATGAGGATGATGATGCTGATGATGGTGCTGATGATGGGGAGGATGATGCTGACGCTGACGATGATGATGCCGATGCTGATGCTGATGCTGACATTGATGATGCTGATGCTGATGATGATATCGTTATTGAAAGTTATGCTGATGATGATGATGATGCTGATGATGATGCTGATGATGATGATGATGCTGATTCGGATGGTGGTGGTGGTGGTGCTGATGATGCTGCTGATGATGATGATGAGGCTGATGCTGATCAGGCTGATGGTGATGCTGATGATGAGGATCTTGATGCTGATGATGACGACGACGACGACGACGATGATGATGATGATGATGATGATGCTGCTGCTGCTGATGATGATTATGATGATGATGATGATGACGATGATGAACATGATGCTGCTGCTGATGATGATGATGAGGATGATGAGGATAAGGATGATGATTGCGATGATGCTAGTGGTGGTGATGGTGACGACGGTGATGCTGCTGATGATGCTGATGATGCTGCTGCTTCTGATGATGATGAGGAGGAGGAGGAAGAGGTGGAGGTGGAGGAGGAGGATGAGCAGGAGGCTGAGGCTGAGGCTGAGGCTGAGGATGATGAGGCCGAGGTTGATATTATGATGAGGAGGATGAGGAGGAGGAGGAACGTGATGAGGAGGAGGACGGGGATTAGGATGATGAGGATGACGATGATGCTGCTGCTTCTGATGATGTTGATGGTGATGGTGATGGTGATGATGATGCTGATGCTGATGCTGCTGATGATGCTGATGATGATGAGGATGCTGATGACGATGTTGATGATCATGCTGATGACGATGAGGATGATGATTATGATGCTGAGTATGATGATGATGCTGATGCTGATGCGGATGATCATGCTGATGATGATGACGATGATGATGC